TCTATCTATCTATCTATCTATCATATATATCTATATATTATCTATCTATATCTATTATATATATCTACCTATAATCTATATCTATCACCTATATCTATCTATCCATCCATCCATTCATCCATCTGCCTATCTCCCTCCAGTATCTCTAGCTCAAGCTATCTTCAAACTACCTATGTAACCAAGGATGAGCCTGATCCTCCTGCCTCCACCTCCTAAGTACTGTGATCGTAGGCACAAGTCATCACATTCAGTTTCTAACCCCGACTTTTGTTTCTGACACTGGATGTGCTGAGTAATCTCACCTCCATATTCATGATCTTTGAGACATGAGATCTTACTATATGGGGTCTATACAGAACAATTAGGTCCCACCTCCAAGATCCTTCTAAAAGATGAAAGTACAGAGAAACAACCAGGCTATGATCCAAGGATTGCAACAGCCCCCACAGATTGGAAAGAGGCAAAAAGCAGGCTTTCATCCAGTCTCTAGAGGGAGGACTCCTGAAACCCTGGTCTGAAACTGATACCTGTCCAGAGTGCTATACATGCTAGAAATGCCTTTGGCTTCTGTCCTATCTCTGTAAAGCTATGGCTCACAAGGACCCCACACTCATAGAAGCCCTTACTGTTTTTCCTCATTGGTTCACTGGTATAATCTTTCAAGAATCAGCAAGGTGCCATCCTGTTCAAAAAATCTGAAACTATCAGGAGCAACTAGGAACACTTCCCCATACCCAGGCATGTCTACAGAAGCAGAAACACACTGTCTGAAGCCACACAGATCACCAACAGAACTTTCTCCCTCTGTTTCGCTCTCCTGCATCTTGAGCCTTACAACACTTAGGGATTTGTGCAAGCTGCCTCACGGAGAAGCATGGGAGAGCTAAGGAACAGAATCTGGGAAAGGCACTTTCTTGGGTTTTGATTTCTGTTTTCCCAGACATGTCTCTGCCATGTACCACTGTGTGACATGTCAAGTCATTTAATTTCTTTGAGTAGAGAAAATGTCTCTCTCTGACTTACACAAAGCCTGAGGATAAACACTATGAACCAGTATCACTTACTTAGAACAAGTGTGGGGCAATGTGGAAAGTACCAGCTACTGTTACTATTGTACCTGTCCCATAGTAACAGTATTCTGGATCGGGACTTGGAATTAATGCCAAAGGTCAGAGGCAGCCTTGAGACATATTGGGGACAGGAGTGAAAAAAAATTAAAGTAGCAATGTCATGCCTGTCCAGTTGTGACATGTTGTGACATATATATTATGGCACACATATTTCTATCCTTATTTTCACCTCAGTAATGAGAAATGTCTACATGAGACTGACATGCTACCCTCAACCCCAACCTGGATTCCAAGCCATGCTGAACTTTTCATACCTCAAAGAAAGTGTATTCATGCATCTTTATCACACGGCAGCTTCACCAAATGCAAGCTTCACCTTTTCCAGGGAATTATATAACACACAAAACTGTGCTGTTTACTTACTAGTGATTGGCAGCTTTGATTGGCAGCTACTTATGCCTTTCAATAATCAAAGGCAACACAGTCTAAACCCCAATTTCCTTTAAAGTTCCATTTCCTTAGTAGATGCTTCCAAAGCATGTGACTCATGGGGAGAAGATAAAATGAGGAGGCCAGCAGTGCTAAGCACAGTCACTTTGGATTAGAACATCTCTTAAGCCAACTGGACTCTAGCATATAAGGAAATTACTGAAAATGTCTTTTAATACAATCGGCTATAAAAACTTATTTCTTTGTTGATGTTGTTCTAAAGTTTCAAAAGGAGGAGAAATAAAAGCTCCAATCGAAAAATCTTAATAATATGTATATGAAGGGGATGTTCGGAAGCCAGAAACACTAAAACAGGAGATGGAAGTGTATAGAGGGCTTTAAGACACAAGCTGTTTTCCTCCATCCTAATGTGGCTGTCACATGGCCTCTAGGGGCTGAGAGTAGGGCAGAAGAGCATGCACAAGGAGCCTGGGGAAATGGAGAAACAAGTTTCCTCTATTCTCAGAAGCCATCCCCTGTCCTAGCAATAAGGCAGATGTGGAGGTATGTCTCAGTCCAGGACTCTGGTTACCAATGTGCTCCAGAATCTGGAATTGGGGAGGGTGGAACAAACACGAGTGACATCTCACATGAAGCTGAGAGTTGACTACTGCTCTTCTCCTCATTTTGTAACCCTATGGACATGAGCAGAGGGCCTCTAGGTGCAAAATCTAGTTATATGAAGCTTGATATATCACAGAGCCAGCCACTATCACATGGGTTTAAGGATGACTCAAAGGCAAGAGGAGAAGGAAGCTTTCTCTTAGGAAAACATGGAAGCCTTCTGGCGTGTCCTGTTTGCAGGTTGCTGTGGGCAAAGCTGGAAGAAGGCCAATTAAAGGCAAAGTAGCCCACACTACTGATAAGGGTGCATGTCTGCTATGCTCTGCTTAGTCCTATACTGGTAGCAAAGGTAAAGATGAGGGATGCTGTTGCTGAGCAAAAATAGTCCACTTGGGTGCCTCTTCTTACGGAGTTAATGAGTGGTTTCTTGGACCATTTTCAGAATGAGCACACGCCACCCTCTAAGTATGATTTATAGAAGGTTGTTCTCCTTGGCTGGAAAAAATATAGATTGGGAGTCAGGCATCTCCTTTTATATATGGCTTGGTTGTTTATCATTGTATATTCATTCTCTTGGTTTGTTAGTGTGAGTCTGTCCAAGGCAAAGTTACTCCAGATGCTTACAGCAGAGCCCTGGATGTAAGTAGGCTGAGGCAGTTTCTGAATTACACTCAGCCTATCAGAACATCTAGTGGAAATGGTATATGTACCTAGAAGTCCATTACACATAGTATAATGAAATCACCTACTATCTCTGTTCCTCACGTGGGATTAGCTTGTTCCTTTTCTGTTCATGATTTACTTTCCTACAGTGATTAATAAATTATGAAAAATGATGGGATAAATAATAAGTCATTGGTAGATAAAACTCTCCAAAACCCAAGGTACATAAGAAAGAAGGTTTTCAAATGAGTATTAAAGAAGCCTTGAAAATGGTACTGGCTCTAAAAACCCAAATACCTCTCCTTAAATGAGCTGGGCCCAAAGTTATTTGTTGGCCAGAACAGAGACCAAGTCAGGTAAATTGTGGAACTGCTCGAAGAGGCAAAGGCTGTCTCCTCCAAGTCCACAAAGCCAGCTTGAGGCCCATTCCTGCTCATTGTCTACACCTTAGAGGCCAAAAAGCTCACATGTAAGTGCAACATCCGTGATTATATATAAGTAATAAATACACATATGTCCAAACATCTCTTTATCCAGTAGGCCTAAAGTTCAGCACCTCCTGACTTTTAGAATAAAGAACTAATAACTCTCAGGTAAGGACCCAGGCACTACGACTAGGTTATTTTCAAAACAGAAAAACAAAACCGAAACATAAAAACAAACAAACAAACAAAAAAAACAGTTCTAGCTTGCCTGCTCATCAGAAGGAGGCATGGGCAGGATTCAGAGGTCCTACAAAGGTTGAGTAAGGCTAACTCATCTATAGCGTAGCATAGGAGTTTGATAAGCACATAGCTAAGACATTGACCTCCCTCTTGCCCCCTCCTCCATCTGATAAACTCCACTCACATCCCAGGCCCCAGCAAACGCTGGCCCTTCCGCAACAGGCTCACCTGGCTGAGACCTTTTGGTGGGATTCCCTTACCTCTTGCCTCCAGGGTTCTTTATAAGCACTGTTAATAAATGCACTACGATCTAAGCTATCCCTTATACATCACTAACCCCCTCAGTGCCCTCCGACGTTCTTGCCAGCAAGCCTGCCTCACTTACTGGGTTCCTCCTTAGGCAACGCCACCAGTGAGCCTTGTGTCTACCATTTCATGAAACAGTCACAAATACCAGAGAAGAAAGCATAATTATTAATGTTCCACGGTGGCCGCCCGAGATCAATTACTTGTGCCAGATGCTGACAAGCTCACTGAGGCCCAGGCCTCCGCACTTTGCAAACTTTCCAGACCATTTGTTTTTCCCTCAAACCAGTTCAGGATGCTGTCTTGTCCCACCAGTGACAGAAACTCCAGTGTCCGGATCAGTCTACCTATAATCAGATCATGCTAAAATGCTAAGTGGTGTCTGTGACATTAGTGTGAAGGGACAATCCAAGAGCTCTCCACTTGAAGGCACACACAGTTTCTTGACCCCTTGTTTTTTTCCCAGAAAATCCAAGTCCATGTTCTTCAAATATGTCTGGAACAATCACTTATTTAACAAGAGGAGGGACATTTACAAACTGACGGCACACAGTACCAATACTATTAGTCTACGACCTCTCAGAACCCAAAGTTTAATGTGCTTACTGTTCAGTGCTAGCATGAGGGACCTCCGTAACTAGAGGGTGAGGATGTCCCTCACACAGCAGCCCCTGCCCAGAGAAAAGCCTGGCCGGAATGAACCCACTGCTCTGACATTTTACCTCGAAACAACTTCCCACCTGTCACGGTCTTCTCAAGTAAATACACCCTCAGGCAGAGGGGGGTCACTGATCAAACGGCCTGAGAGTGTTTCTTTGCAGAAGATATGTGTGGTCCTCATTATAAATTAACAAGCTGGCATTCCATTCTACACAGCAGAGAAATCAAATATGTAAAGAACAAAGCATTTGGTATTTCTGACAGTTTTGCCCTTTAGGTCTTGTCTTCCCATGCTTTGTCTTTGGTGGCCCTTGTCTCCTGTCACCCACACTGACTCTGTCCCTTTATTTCTCTGAAGAGCTCCAGCAAAACATCACCAGAAACCCGAGATATTAGCAGATTCCGGTAGAAAAGAAAAGGCCAGCCAACAAACAGGACCCTCCCCGTCAGGATCATGACCTTGGACAAGGAGCATTGTCTCTACTCTCTGAGCTTAGTTACTCATCCAGATACAACTTCAACTCATACACATGCCAAATTCATAGCAAATCACCCATGCCACTGGATGGTACCAAATACTCACATTTTCCGCTCGGAGCCTCTTGGCAGGACACCCACCATCCCTGGGGTGAAGCATGTAGTATAGTCGGACTTTGCTGGCATGTTTTCGACTCTGGGGAGGCAAAACACAAGGAGATACTATAAAAGAATAGCCACTTATGAGGAGTATTCGGAAATGCAGACAATGACCACAAATGCAAGTTGTTTTCAGTAGAAAATACTTTCTTGGGCTCCTGCAAATTCCATGGGAGTCAGCTTCAGGTAGATTAATTATGGTAAGTTGCAAGTACCATTTCAGGATAAATAAAAGCAATAACCAAGAGTTATGAATCAGCTCCTTTTCCACCATTATTTAGCTGTCCTCAAAAGTAAGACATATGTGCAAATGAAATTATGTAAGGGTCAACTGTAATGAAAAAAAGTACTAAGATCTTCTCTCTTATTTCTCCCCTGAACTCAGATTTGGGGCATGAAGAACCCAGGGGTTTCTGGCCCTTACGATCCTAGAAACTAGTCGAAACTCAAGTGTCCTACAATACAAGCAAACAGCCTCAGGTGGCTAGGAAAGGTCTGTGAGACCTTGAGAGGTTCAAGGCCTGCAAGGAGAAATGCATTGTACCTTAGCTCTCTTTCTCCTAGTCCTGTGATCATATGACCCACTGGGCTGACCTCTACCACTTGAAAGAATATTGGAATTCTAATTTTTATGTTCTCCCTAAAGCAGGATAAAAGAACATACAGTTAGCGAGCGCTCCTGAAGTTGAGAGTAAGCTCTGGTTCTACCACCCGTCTGCTTGCGTGATACTGGGTTAGTCATCAACTGGAGTATACTCTTGGTCTAAGTGAGTTGGATGTTTCGCTCACACAAAGTGAGCACAGTGCTCCTGTGGCTGTTAGGAGACCTGCATGAGATGATTTCCCACAAAATGCTGTGATCTCCCCATTAGTCCTGCTTCCCTCGCCATTGACGGCACAAGTTCCTAACCCACCACATTCCCATTACAACTCTCTTTCCCTTCAGTTGACATGGAGATCACCTCCTCCTGGGGTCCTCTGTCTCCTCCATTCCATCTTCATTCACAGCCAAGTGCTAGCCAGCCTAACGGATGATAGCTTACTTTTATGGATTAGCCAGAAAAGCAGAGCGATTCTCGGAGAAAAGCCGGCGAGCTGTGTTTTGTTTATGGCGTGCACTATAAATCCTTTCTGCCAGCCTTCCTCATTCATCACTTCTTAATTCCATTATTGTGCCTAGAACAAGCAGAGCACACTTCCAAACAGTCCCTGGGGACTTTCGGGGCCTTCAAATGGGTTTTCGAGCAGTGGTAGAGCATGAGGAATTTTACAAATGTTTAAGTACCTCGGTGTGGCTAGAAACATGCTGTGTTCATCACCATTAGGTCAGAGCACATCCTAATTAAGGTTGTCTGGATTGGTTTTTTTTTTTCCCTTGACTGGAAATTTGATAGGACAGAGAACTAGAGACCTGTGAGGACACACCAGATGACCCAAGAACATTATTCAACTTCTTTAATATGTTTAAAAATGACATGGTACAAACTAATAGTGCATGTGCGTGGGTGTGTACGTGTGAGTGTGTGTGTGTGAAATGTTGATGATTAAAACAGGACTGTGGAGATCACAGCATACTTTTTAACTATGGGGGGGGTAGAGATAAGGGATGGTGGTATTACTCAAACTACAGCCTCAGGCAGAAGAATAAAAAAGTAACAAATCTTCAGAACCCAGAGCTTGGGTAGATGGCAGAGAAGCCATATATGGCGGCTGGTGAACAGACTAGGAGGATTGTTCATTTTCACACAGCTGGAAGCAGATGTCCAGTTCTCCAGCTGCAGTATCACTGGCACACCCAAGGTGATGACAAAATTTGAACCCTCACAGTGGGCCTGCCTTTTCCCCCTTTCCTGAAGTATGTTGTTTCTCTTGAGAAGACTCTTCATCAAAGGCAATGGTCACCAAGTTACTTAATTGCAGTTTAACAAAACCAATTAGTTGAAACAACAACAACAAAAAAATAATAAAGAAAAAAGAAAAAACAGAGGTTAGATGACAAACCTTCCTCTGAATCCATTAGTGAGGAGAGAGGCTGGGATTTGAGGCTTCGTGGCAATTTTGATGACTGTACACCTGATAGTCCCCTTCAGATTCCCGAGGTCGTGTCTACACAGAGCAGGCATAGCTATTCCTAGGGCTATGCCTAAAGCCTTGCACCCCTTTGGAAACCATGGTAGCCACCAGGGTAGAAGCGAAGACACCTTAGTGCACACCTTTTTCTTGGCTCCATCCCAAGACTGTCTCCAACTGCCAGAGTCAGATCCCACACCTCTATCCACAGCTGACCCTGAAGGAAAGTGGCAGACAGATTGCTCAGTAGGAAGGGTCCATTAGAACCCTGAAATCTGGATGGACCATGGAAAAAGATGCTCAGTTTGCTCCTGAGCCTTCGGCATGTTATGGCATCTCCACGAACCCTGGCTCTAACCCCATCCTCATCTGGAGACTCTGAAACACCTAGCTGGCTGCCTCCCACTGGCTTCTCTACCCCATTACCTTCCAGAAATTCCTTGAAGTTTGGCACAGTAATGTGACTCCGCTTATTCTAGCAAGTGAACTTCCTACAGAAAGTTAAAATTAAATTGCAGCAAAGATGTTCACTTTAGCATTACCTACTTTGAACAAAAAAAAAAAAAAAAAAAACATGGGACAGAGAGGCTTGGTCAACAATAGATGTCTTGTTAAAGTAGCAGTGGAGAGGCCTTATGCAGAAGGGAGAAACGGGGAGTTCATTGCCATGGAAGAGACATAGAAGAACACCAAGCACAAAGCTAAACTTTGTGATGGCCACAAGTGCTACCAGAAAGTGGTGGATAGGAAACAGATCCGTTAGACACAACAGGGTACGGTTTTTGATTTGTATCTCTTTAGCAAACCAGCTTGTAATATGACGTGAGCATGGCAATGGTTCAAATCATGGTATTCTACTTTGAGTTCAGTTTTTCTCCAAATGGTTACATGTGGAGAAAACCAGCACTGCTCTGAAGTGCTCAGACTGTGCACTGGTATAGTCGGCCCTCACCAGCACCCTAAATGCAAACTTGTATTTTTCATTGGGATACTTGATTAGATGAGCTTTCTCAACCCATGCACGTTTTAAACTTTATTTTGGTAGGAACAATGCAATTATACTCTCCAGTGTGTGGTAAATTTTCAGAGTCCATGGATTGACAGGACACTGAGGAGGGGGGTCCGTGTGTCCGCATCAGGAGAACTGGGCCCTCTGTTCAAACAGAAACAATGATGACATCAGATTCTTGCACATTGTCAAGATTTCCCATTACCGACAATGGGCACTGCCTTTCAGAGGTATAAAAGTGACAAAGTAGCTACCAAGTGAAGTTAGCTTCCAGGAGGAAACAATACTTCAGGGTTTAGTTGGTGAGGTTTCAGGAGAGAAAAAGGACACTCACTTGAAGGAAGAAAAAAATGTACAGGAGATAACAGGGTCTCTCCTGCCTTTACGTTTGCATTTTAAGCAAAAGCCTTTATCTTCTCTCATTTATTTATTTACTTATTTATTCTCCCTACATCCCTATCTCTGGGCTTCATCCCTCCTCTCCTCCCAGTCCCACATTTATAAATCCCTCCCCCCATTATCACTCCCCTTCTCTGAGGAGAAAGGGAAGCCTCCTTAGAGTGCTACCCTACCCTATGACATCCAGTCACCATAGGCCTAAAAATAACCTCTCCCCCACTGAAGCCCAACTAGATAATCCATTTAGGGAAAAGGTGAGCCAATGGCAGGCAACAGAGTCAGAGACATCCTCTGCTCCAATTGTTAGGAGACCCATAGGAAGACCAAGCTGCACATCTGCTCCAAATCTGTAGGGGCTGTAGGTCCAACGCCTGAATGTCCTTTGCTTTGTGGTTCAGTTTCTGTGAGCTCTCATGGGCCCAGATTAGATGACTCTGTATGTCTTATGGTATCCTTGACCCATCCAGATTGCTCAATCTATCCCTTACTCTTCCACAAAACTGGAGCACAGCCTGGTGTTTGGCTGTGGGTCTCTGCATCTACAGCTGGACATCAACTCACCCATAAAACCTTCAACCCAAAACTTGTTCTACCTACAAGATGTTCAGGGATAAAGATGGAGCAGAGATTGAAGGAATGGCCAGCCAATGACTGGCTCAACTTAAAACACATCCCATGTAAAATAGCAAATCCCTGACACTATTAATGATACTCTGTTATGCTTGCAGACAGGAGCCTAGCATCACTGTCTCCCAAGAGGCTTCATCCAAAAGATTTTACTTTCACTGAAAGCATATGCACTCAAGCTTCCCCAATGGTCTAGGGAAATCACCAACTCTTCAACTTTAAATAAAGCCTTTGGCCTGCCTTGGGCATTGTGTTGAGTCAGACCCATCTGAAGATTAGTTTCTTTAGCTGAGCAATCTCTTGACACTCAGAGAAACTATATAAAGCAGAAATACGTTGGGGGAACAAAGAGTAATGCAAAGCCCTACTTCAGATTGCTGAGCAGAAGCAAGGAGAACATGGGAACTGGAATTGATCTGTACTTCACCCAAATACTCATTTTTCACAACTGTACATTCCTTTTTAAAAAGCCTAACTCAAGCTCGCCACCAACGAGGGTACCAGCTTTTCCTCTTACAAGATGTGACGGTCACAAAGCACATTTGTATTTGGATAATTCCTCAAGCAGCCTTCAAAAAACTCCCACATTCATCGACTCATTTCTATACTCAGATCTCAGTTTTGAGGCTGGCAGGAGAGGTGCAATCTTAAATAATCATCAGGATCCATTCTTGATTTCCGAGATAAGCCTTTCACCATCTAGTTCCATCCTAGCCATATAACTAAACTTCCTACAGAAACCAGCCAGAGAGAGCCAAAAACAGAAAGAAAACGGAGCCTAGAACAGACTGATAATTATAGAACTGTTATTCTCACAGGCCACCGTCTTGAGATATTCCAAGACAACAAACATCAAAAGGGGTTTAGAGAATTGTTGTCCAGTGGGAGACAGGGATTCCCTCTCAAAGCATGAAAGGAAAGCTCTCCCAGTA